ACTTTATGCATTAGAGACAAAATACCTGAGTCAATCAACTTATAGGAAGGATAGATTTATTTTGGCTCACAGATTTAGACATTTCAGTGCATGGTCAACTGGCTCTATTGCTTTGGGCCTGTGGCAAGGCAGAGCATCATAGTAGGAAATGTGTGGTGCCTAAGGCTACTTATATGATGGCTGCTGAGAAGCAAAGAAAGAAAGAGGAAGGGACTGGGTTCTCAATATCCCCTTCAAAAGCACACACTCAAAACAGAACTTCCTTCCACTAAGTCCCACCTCCTAAGGGTTCCACCACCTTTAATAGCACCATCAGCGAGAGGCCAATTCTTCAACACATAAGCATTTTGGAGACATTTCAAATCCCAACCATAACATTCTGTCGCTGGCCCCCAAAGTCTCATGTCCATCTCACAATGCAAAGTGCATTCAGAACATGTCAATAGTCCCCAAAGTATTAAATGTTGCAGCAATGCCCCCAAGTGCAAGTCCAAAGTCTTGTGAGACTCAGTGAAAATTCTTTTTCTGTGATCTCCTGTAAAAATCAAAACACAAATGACATACTTCCAAGATGTAGACATGAGATAATAATTCCTATTCCCAAGGGAAAGAATAGGAAAATAGCAAGGAGGAATTGGAACAAAGCAAGACCAAAACCTTGAAGGCCGACATTAATTCTTCATGTCTGCCGTACAGTGGTATGATGTGACTTCCAAAAGGCTTGGGCAAAACAACCTCTGTGACCTTGCCAGTTGCAGTACACATGGCCTCTTTTTCGGGATGGCTCTGCTCACTGCCTCTCATTTCCCTTGGTAGATGTTTCACATCTTTGGCATCTCCAACTTCTCTAGCTTTCTCCACTGCAGCTTCAGCTTTATTCTCACCCTCTCAGAGACTGCTTGCAGAATTTTAACCCTGCCACATACTGCCTGGATTCCCAGTCCTTTGAAATCTTGGTGGAAGCCTTCATGACTCTACACCTTTTGCATTCTTTGTGCATACAAAACCAGCACCAGAAGAACAATGCCAAGGTCTTCCACTGGCTTGAGAGGCAGCTAGGCCCAGTAAAACCATGGTTGTAATGGTCTCTGAGTACCTGGAGTGGGGTGAGGTGAATCCTGGGGAAACAATTCCCTATTAGGCCCTGTGCCAGCACTACATCCTGGGACTCCCTTTCAAACAAAAATCTTTGAGCCTTGCTGACTCTTGGGATGACCTGAAGGTATCTTGCCTATTTTTCTTGTGCAAAATACTTGGTTTCCTTATAATGGAACCAACTTTTCAGCAACTGCATGAACCTACTTGGATGCAACTTCAAACATGCTTCTTTTCTGACCAAACATCAGGTTTTAAAATTTTTTTATGCTCTGCTTTTTGCTCCTTATTCTCACAGTAAATCTAGCTGAAAACAACAAGCAATAGCCATGACATTTTGTGAATGCTGTGCTGCCTTAAAATTTCCTTCACCACGTTAATTATCCTGTCACCTTTAAACTCAGCTTCATACAAAGTCTCAGAGAATGGACAAAATATAGACAGTTTGCCAGAATGCAACATGAATGGCCTTCATTACAGTTCCCAAAATAGATCTCATTTCCACCTGCAACTTTACTCTCTGTATTCCTATTAATATTCTGGTCTTCTGAGCCCCCTACCAAAATCTCTTGTTAACCTCCTCTTTTATTATTTTAGGCTTTTATTAACCCTCTTATCCACACTTTTTCAAACTCCTCCCACAAACTAATTCTGAAGGTTCTCATTACCATCATCAGGTATAATCAAAGCAATGACCCTACTTCCTGTACCTATTTCTTATGTTAGTCTGTTCCTGTTACTCTGACAAAATACTTGAAAAATATAAGGAAAACTTTATTTTGACTCACAGTTTCAATTTTCAGTCCATGGTCAGCTGGCTCTGTTGTTCTGGGCCTGTGATGAGGCAGAACATCATGGTGAGGATTGTGTGATAGATGAGGCTATCACATCGTGGAAGCCAGGAAGCAGAGAGACGAATGGGCTGGGTTCCCAATATCTCCACCAAGAGTATGTCCTCAATGACCCAACTTCTTTCCACTAGGCCCCTCTTCTAAAAGCTTCTACTACCTACAACAGCACTATCAGGTTGAGATCAAGTCTTCACCACATGAAGATTTGAGGGATATTTAAGATCTACATCATAACAGTTTTGGACTGTAAGTTTATGACCTTGAGCAATTCAGGTCTACACTTTTGGGTAGCATTAAAAGTGGCTGTCCTGAATCATGTTTAATGGTTTTCCTCAGTGGTTCTAAATTGGGCAATACTTCCCTACCATACAAACAGATGAAAATTTGTTAGGGCATCTTTGGTTGCTAGGGTGACTAGGTATGTACTTCTAGCATTTAATGAGTAGGGACCAGAAATGGCAAATAGCCTGAAATGCATAAAAAAGTCTCCACAATAAGTCATTGGCACCCAATTTGAAAAACATAAGCAGAACATCAGAATTCTCTAAATGTTGTTGTTTTACTTGTGAGATTTGCAATCTTAGTTCTACCTATAATTAGTTCTGTCCTCTATGATCTGTATCTCATGTCCCCTGCTTCCCCAGGGATTTTATTTTCTTATAATCATTGTATTTTGTGTCCTCAACCCTCTCTCTCTTCATTTGAATGCATTCTAGTTTTTCCTATATTAAGCAGTGTACTTTTAAAATTCCATATCCACTGTGGCTGTTTCTTTCTCCTTATTCACAACAGCGTTTACCTTGCCAATCAGAATAACACATTTATTTATTTGTCTTTGGGGGTAACTATTTTTTTTGTATTATAATGAAAACAAAGCTGAAACCATACAATGTTTCAAAGAACACCATTTTATTACATAGACATATTAGTGGAATCATTATACCACTTTATACTTCAAAACCATTGTGTGTGAGCACACACACATATACATCCACACACATATATGCATACAAATATGTTTTAAAATTTCTAAAGAGAGTCCACTTTTATTCTTTTAGGCTAATAATAACTCCACCAGTTTATAGTTTGTCTCCAAACCACAGCTTCACACCATTTTTACATATTTTTTCTAATTTAGGATCACATTACTCTCCCCCAAGAATGAGCTCATACTAAAACTATATTCACTTAAAAAAACTAGTTCATAGTCAGTGTAATGTCAAAACTAAGTCTTCAATTATTTGAACAATGTCTTTTTAACCTTCCTCACTTATCCTAGGAATCATTATACATCCATAGTAAATACTCTACAATGAGCCTTGAAAACATTGGGTTGAAATAATTGTATTTAAAGATATAGCTATACTTGGTTAAACATAACACTGTACTATTTGGATAATTGTGATGACTGCAATTTTTTTTAACTATGTCAAAGCCGTGGTATGCTACTTTTGTCTTTTATTGTGTGGTTTTATGAAATAGTTTAAAGGTGTTAAAATATCTTACTTATGTATTATAATTCTGTATTGTACAAATGTGTCTACAGAGAGAAATGCCACCAAAATTACAGTTGGTGGTTTATTTCTTTCAGTACAAAACTATATCTTTGCATAAATTCAGTAGAACTGCATACACACAAAATTTCTGCATTTTATAGTTTAGATTTTCAGTGACAAAATCATGACTGTTTGTGGCATCAAATGAACTGTGATGATATTGGTTCACTATTTGAGATTGCATTTATGGACGATGTGTATGATCTACTAGATATTGAGATTACCTGAATGAGTTGGGAAACTTTATAAACTATATTGAACAAGAGTCCAGTTATTACTGTTGAATTGATAATCAGAATTTTTAAAGGAACTAATTTAAACAAGTTAAATGATAATCATGTTGCTATAAAACTAAAAGCCTTCAGGTTTCTACCAATTAAAATTATTGTTTTTTTAGCACAATTAAAACCCATATCTTCCTTATAAATTATGGCATGTTCTCATAATGGATAGTAAAGGTTTTGATTTTACCTATGATTTAGTAAGTAACTCATAAAAAATGACTTGAAAATTGACTCATGTTGGGAAGTAATAAAAAGCTACAATACAGTGTGTTATTATTTAAAAACATTAGATTTCTTCATTTTCTGTCAGAGGTTATATTCTCAAAGACCATGATATTTTCTTGTCCATATACAATATTGGTTGCTATTTTACCATTCCATTATGGAAGAGAGTATTGAATGTAGCTATATGAATGTCATTCATATTTTTATTTCCTTCTACAATA